TTCTAGAGAAAAGTGATATTCCTTACATGTTTTGACCAGTCTGCCATCCGTATTTGTGCTTTAAAGAGTCCACTTTTAACCCCAGATTTTCTTCTCCATCTGGCCTGTCCAGGACTGGCACAGGAAACAGATATACAGTGCTAGGCCTGAGGAGGTTGCATAGTGTAAGTTTTACTCTCTGCCCAGCTAATGCATGTTTTTTTATATTTACATTTTTTTTAACACGGGCGGTATTTACAAAGCTGCCAAAGGCACTTGATGTAAAGTGAGCCGAACGCTATTCACTTCAGTCTTGTACGGCTAATTTCAGCCATACATCGGCTACAATCAGCCGCACGTTGGTTGCCTTCGGTCAGCCAAACATGCTCTGCATGTTTCGGCTGAGGCGAGGTGCAGAATAATCTGGATCTGCTGAGCTGAAGCTCCAGCAGCTTATTCGCTGCAGTTCGCCCCTATTCTCATTCGGCTTGGCTATTTTGCTGGGTACCTCTGAAGTACCCAGCAGAATAGAAAATAGGTGAAATGAATAAAAGAAAAGAAAAAAAAGTTGAAAAATTATTTTTAATATGTAAGAAAATAGGAAAATTAAAGAAAAACTAAATAGTTTAAAGAAAAGAAAAAAAAGAAGATTAAAAATAATAAAAAATGCTGGCAAAAGAAAAACAATTGGGCAGAGCTAGCAGTGACAGCTAGCTCCACCCAACTGTTTCCTATTGGTTAGCACCTGCCAGAGTCTTGTAGTAGGTCCCGGCCAATGAATAACTACTTGGCGGAGCCGGCCATGACATCATGGCCGGCTCCACCCAGTTGTTATTGTTTAAGGACAGATCAGCATCCCCAGGTAATTTGGGGACGCTAATCTGTCAATACAACTGGACAATGCGAGACGTGAGATCACAGCTGGCTCTGCCCACCTGTCATTTGTGTGGAGATCGGTCAGCTTTGTCTGACCATTCTCCACACTTCAGCTGTCACTTTGGCTCAGTCGAGCCAAAGCATATGTCTTCGCTCAGCTGAGCCGCTCGGCTGCCTTCGGCTGCTGTACGGGCTATTGTGAACCGAAAGGCGGAGGTGGCCGAAGACAGCCGAAGGATCAGCGGAAGCTATGGCTGGATCCTTCGGCTCTTTAGTGAATAACTCACAGGTGTTAAGTTAAAGTGTCCCCACTAGGCACATTCATTCTCTCGAATCTGGTGACTATTGTCTCCAGTACCGAAAGTGATGGGAAATAAAAAACATTAGTGTTGCCACAAGAACAGGAGGTAAGAAAAAAAGCTTCTAATAAGGGAACCTGTTTTGGTGACAACTGTCTCATAGGGGACTTTCCTTTACTTTAGAGAGATTTTCTCCTACTTCAGGTTTAATGCCTGAGACAAGAATTAAAGAGAAATCTTCCTGACGGTACAGAGACAGAGAAAACAAGCCTCACATGGGTACTACATTAAAAAAATGTTTTCGCTTTAAATACACTTTAAAACATCTGCTTTAAGTCTGCTTTTACATCATCCCTCATGAGAAAACCTTTTCATTATATAAACTAATATAAAAACTAACTTATGTTGCAATCTTATAATAATCTGTGTATATTTTGTTTAGTTCAAGTGATCTCGGCAATGCCGCAGAGATCACTTGTATTCAGCCTGCAGGTCCATCCACCCCCCCTCTGTCCCTTTACTGCTCAGTCCCAAGAAGCCCATATCGTGGTCTTGCCTAAACCAAATAAAGATCTAACTCAATGTCAGAACTATAGGCCAATATCTTTGATTAATATAGATTTAAAGATATATGCAAAAATTATTGCAAATCGCCTAAAGGCTCTTTTACCATCAATAATACATAGGGACCAAGTAGGATTTGTCCAGGGCAGAGAAGCCAGGGACAATACTATTAGGACGCTGACCCTTATGAGATATACAAAAGTCAATGGACTTCCTCTATGCATCCTGTCGGTGGATGCCGAAAAGGCATTCAACCGCTTAGGTTGGGATTTTTTGTTTCATACCTTGCTACAGATAGGGATACCCAGAAAGGTAGTAGATAAAATTATGGCCCTATATATAAGACCTACTGCAAGAGTTAGGGTAAATGGCTGTTTATCAGCACCAATAAACATTCGGAATGGCACTAGGCAGGGATGCCCCCTATCCCCAATGCTATATGTTTTCGCTATGGAGCATCTAGCCGAAGCAATTCGGAAAAATACATCTATTAAAGGGGTATCTGTCCAAAATGAACATTGTAAGATGGGTCTATATGCGGATGATGTTTTATTATATATATCAAACCCAAGGGTAGGATTTCCATCATTGCTTGAAGAATTTCGCAAATTCGGGATGGTTAGCAACTTTAAAGTTAATCTTCAGAAGACAGAGGTACTGAATGTGACACTGCCTAGTGAGGAAGTTTAACATTTGGAAACCAACATCCCATTTAAATGGCAGCCCGATGCCATAAAATACCTGGGGATATTTATCTGTAAAGATTTGATGCAGCTCTATGATCTTAATTATGGACCTCTCTTACAATATTCAATTGCACAAATGAAAAAGTGGACACATTATAAACATTCCTGGCTAGGAAGAGTAGCACTTTATAAGATGGATATACTGCCTCGCTTTTTATATCTTTTTCAAACTTTACCTATTGAAATACCGACTGCTTTCTTTCATAAGAACCGAGTGGCCCTGACTCAATATATATGGACAGGGCGCCCACCCAGATTAGCATATCATATTCTTATAAGAAAGAAAGAAGAAGGGGGGTTGGCCCTCCCAGATTTGAGAACATATTACTATTCTACATTAATAGCCCATATATTGGACCGAAAATTTAATGATGGGAATAAGTTATGGGTTGACTTAGAGAAAGAGATTACCCCTATTCTTCCATACTCTATACCATGGATAAAACCGGATATGAGACCTCCGAGATCAGCTCTCCCCTTCTGTATACCCCCTCTTTTAAAAGTCTGGGACCATATGATAAAAGAAATTCAGATTTCAACTATCGTGGGACCCATGACTTCCATCATGGGAAACCCAATATTTAAACCAGGGGAGGTAAATAGGCAATTTTTTCAATGGACCAGGAGCTCACCTTCACCTATAAGGGATGCCCTTACATCAACACATTTAAAATCAATGATATCTCTGCTGCCTGTACAAACGTATGAACACAGTTTATGGCTTCAGTATTTTCAACTTAGAGCCCTATATGATAGTCTACAGGAGAAAGCATCGTTACATAGACCATTAACTTGGTTTGAAAACCTTTGCTGTCAGGAGAGAGTAACCCACGAGATCTCCATATTGTATCATAATATAATGACAGCACGATTTCCAACAAGGCCTTACTCTATGCTAGCATGGGAGAAAGATTTACAAACTTCATTTACAAAGGAGGAGGTGCAAAAATCATTTATTCTAACTCATAAGACATCTATCGCCTCTTTATATCAAGAAAAGGGATACAAGATATTATCGAGATGGTATAGATGTCCGACTTTATTACATAGAATTTCCCCATTAAATGCACCAACATGTTGATGATGTTGATGCAGAAGAGAGGAAGGAACATATCTCCATGTATGGTGGAGCTGTGATTTATATAATGCCTTTTTGGAAACAGGTTTTTCAAAAATATAACCAAGTAATGGAAGCAGGAGAGGATCCATCACCTAAAATAGCTCTTCTTTCCATATTCCCAGGACCAATATCCAGAAACAAAAGGGAGCTTCTCAGATTCTTTATATCAGCAGCTCCAAACATTAAAGAATGGGAAGTAGAATTAAGTAAGATTCAGAGATAAGAAGAACTAACGGCATATATAAATGAACGAGACTCTCAATGGGAAGATATGTGGAACCCATGGAATAGGTATAAAGAACAAAGAAAAGGGGAAAATGGGGGACCCGAGAGAAAGAGAGAAGACTGACAGAGGCAGAAGAAATAAATAGAATAATACATATTAAGCAAGAAGGGATATAAAGGTTAAGATTAAAGGTTTTTCTTTAAAAAATGTGCAATGGAGACTAATAAGGGGAGAGGGAAGGGGATGGGAGAGAAGGTGGGGGTGAGGGGGGGGCACATATAAAGGTTTCTGGTATAGATAAGTCTTGGAAACATAGGGATGTATATTAGACATAGATATACATGTATGTATATATATGGAGATAGATGTATAAGGATATATGAAATAAGGTTTTCCTATATCAATGTTGTTATATTATATCTGAAACCAAATAAAATCTTATTGTATAAAAAAATAAAAATAAAGTAAAACTATATAGATAAATAAAAATTTGAAAAAGTGAAAACAATAAGTAAAAAATAACGTTACAAACATCAGATTTCTCAGAGGGATAGATATAGTGTTACCAAGATAGTCGGGCAACCCTAAGGCCTGGTTCACACCTGGGAGTTTTACAGTGCATTCCTACGCTCTGCGAAACGCTCAACATGTGAAAACCAATGATTGCCTATGGGCACCGTCCCCACCTGGGCGTTTTACAGCGCGTAGGAACGCGCTGTAAAATGCCCTACACCCAAAGAAGTACAGGAGCTTCTTTGGGGCGTATTTGCTGCGCATATCCATTGGGATAGAGCCAGGTATCCCTTGGAAACGTGCGTTTGTCGCACATTTTTTTTACCACAAATCGCGGTAAAAACATGCGTGACAAACGCGCATATTCGATACGCCTAGGTGTGAACCCAGCCTAATGCATAACGTATCATCATGACAAAAGATAATGTGGTTATGGATATTTTCTCTTAGGTACACTGGAAATGTTTTTCACATCTCATTATGAACTTATTTAATGTGTTATTTAACTTGTCTTTTGAAATGTGAAATTTGATTATTTTAAAGTGTAAAATTTAAAAAAAATCATCAATATTTAAAAAACATTTTGATGAAAATAAATGTTGCACAGCTTGTATTTTTGGAATAGGAATGCCATTTTAAAACAAAAAAAGGATTAACATACAACTACATTTTTTAAGGTCTTGGGACTGGAAACCTGTTTTATGTGTTCAACGATGATGGCATTAAAGTAATTCAACCTGTGGAATGTGAATATCAAAGACATATAAAGATGACAGAAAAAATCTTTGGAACCCAGGTAATTTTATTATGTACAGAAAATACATTTCCAAAATTGTTAATCATAAAAGCTGGTACAAGATACTTTTCAACTTTTAGTATGTCTAAAATACTGGGGTATCATTAATATTAATATGTTTTATCTGCCATCAAGACCATTACCATTTTACTGTTCAAATTGATTTACTAAAGGAGTAATCTGTACAGAGCCACTTCCAATACCCAGTTAGGTTTGGTGAAATAAAAAAAAAAGAAAATGCCTGTGAACTTGACTGGGTGATTAAAATGTATAAACCACTCCTTTGGTATATCAGCCCCCTGGTGTAAGCACATCGATCAGCTCTATAGTAACTAGACATCATTGCTAAAAGTATGACATAATAGTCAAACACAGAATAAGCTTACTTGTTTTGTTGTGATAGTCTGCCTAGAATAGTACTCCATTAGTGGAGGTGGGTCATCAATGGCAATGCAGCTGCGTTGGTTAGTATAATAGCAATAATAGATACATACATAAATAATATAAACTCTGTATTTTATTTTTATATATCTGAATTTATACATCGGATTAAGTAAATGCATTATTTATGTGTTTATTCATGCATTTACTCATATTAATACATTAATTGTTGCAAATATGTTTACTAGCCCCTTGTCACCTCATTTCTATGTCAATACCATTTGTTATCCTGCATTCTATGGTAGATCATATCTCCTAAACTTCAGGTATACACCTAGAAATATATACCTATATTTTGCTACTCACAAAAAAATACTTACAGGCTATGAAATAAATTGTATCTGAAATTAAATGACACGGGCAGAGACAGAATAAGCTAAAATATGTTGTTAAAGGTTATGCTTGCAATAATACCACAGTGACATTATGAAACAAAAATAGAGGACTACAGATGCAAAAAATGAGCCACATCCAACGTGTGTCAACTTTTCCATTCTCTGAGCAAATTAAAGTTTTATTGCCCATTTTCTCACTATTGTAGTACATCATTTTTATTCATTTGGGAGTGCTTACAAAGCCCATGGTTCCTTGTGGACTTCATTGACTTACTGTCAAATTACCTGTGTAGAATTACAACCAAAACCTGAAGAAAACATTGCTTTTGTTAGTCCTGTGTGAACTATTTTTGAATGCAGGTTTAAAAAATGAAATTTCTAAAGCACAATGCAGCTCTAAAGCATGGAGTAGTGGTTACCAAACACAATATATGCAGTATATTATTTTTCTTACTGAAAATAATGACATAATATTATACTCTTGTTTACTTATTATTGTATAGTGTACTATAAACATAACTAACACCATATATAT